TCTCTCTCTCTCTCTCTCTCTCTCTCTCAGTTTTAATTGCTTTGTAAATATTATGTAAATTAACATAAGAGTGTTTGTGTAGTTTATCATTATTTATTATATAATAAAAAACAATATTTTCGATATGTTGTTTATACTGTCTATTAGTTGAGTATTTAAAAGATGTACTCTAACTAATAAATAATGTAGCTATAATATAACTTTATAACTAGTGTTCCCAGCTCACTATTTCAAATTACTTAAAATTTTGTTGAAAATTCCTTGAGTTTTTCCTTGATACGTTTTTAAAGCAAAAATAATAATTTAAACTATTAATACAGTATATAAATTGTAATTTATATTGCATTACAACTGCCTTTTAAAACACTTATCTTAGATAAGTTATCTATATTCTTTAACCAGATTACGGAGTTAATATTTTTGGGTAAACATAAACATTAACAATCTGCTTATCTGATACCTATTTAAATAGCATCAAAATTATTTTCATTGATATTTTACATAAAATATGTTGCCTTAATTGCATTTTAAATTCCTTGACTTCCCCATATCAAGACGAGACCCCCGCCGGGAGGCAGGAGCCAGACCTCAATTCCTGTAGACTCCTACGATTCCGGGAGCTTCTGGGAACACTAACTATAACCCTAATATAAATAGACATAGTAGTAACTTTAATATGAATATCTAATAATACGAATATCTAATTTGTTAAGCGATGGCATTGAGAATCATGAATATGTATTAATTATTTGAATACATTTTAATCCAAACACACATTTTGTTTGAGTTCAAAAACCGGAATTTGATTATTTCTAATAATTCATGTATTCATTAAATTTTAATTTTATTTAACTTTAAAATTCTTAGGCACTTATTCTTATCATTAATTCTCAATTATATGCCTTAAATATAAATTACAAAATAATTGTTTAATCTTATTGATTGGGATTCAACACACGGTGTCTGCAATACAAACCTAAAATATAATACATTTTAAATGTAGTCTATTATATTGATATAATTTATATCATATAAAGAATGTTGTAATTTTTTTTAGCAACATTGTATCAGAAAATACAATCACTTGATGATAAATACGGTATTACTCAATAAAGTATTCAAACAAAAATTAAGAAATACAGGACACCCTCTCAATAAGAATTCCCTCTTACGAGAAATATCTTTGATATGATACAATTCGAAACAAAATTTATGATTAATTTGATATATAACAGCCCCTCTTAACGGAACCCCTTTATAAGCAACACTTTTGTCCGCAAGTGACCGTTTCATATAAAGAAGTTACATTGAATTTATTAGTATTCGTTTCAATTAATTTATTGAGTAATGTATTGTCAAGTAATTATATTTATAGTTAGACATAGAATAATTAATTGTATTTTCACATTCTCCTCAATAGTAGATCATAAATAAAAGAAAATTGACATTAAAATTCATATTGCATGAAATGCAATAATTGCATCTACCATGCTCATTTAGCATGATCATTTAAACGTGGCTATTTTGCATTCAAACAACATATTTATATACGTATATTTATTTATAAAACTTTTTAATTAATATTTTTATTGAAACTCATGTATGAGAATCTAAACATACAATTTAGTGAAATGTGTGAGACTTTGCGATAGCATTGAATTGATAGGGAAGTGAAGTGAAGTGCTGTCGGTCTGAACGGAGCCTTTCGTTAGAGATATGAATGAGTTATTATTAATAACTTATTAACAATTTAAACAACACTCAATTCAAATATAATTTTTATGCTAAAAATTTGAATACAAATAAAAATATGCCTAATTATACGACGACTCGACTATTTTAGCATTCATTTCATAAATATTGAGGAAATTCTTTGTCGCAACAAATAATGCAATATTTTTATTAAAAACCATTAAAACATGCATTAAAAACATAAGGAAACAAAAACCACTCATTTTCTTACAAACAATTTAAACGGTTTTATTGTTTTGTGCGGAAAACACACAAAAATTGAAAAGTTTTTGCAAACTTTTTTTGGAGGCAAACCTTATTGTAATGCAAATGTCTGGACGAGTCCTCGCAATCGTTGCCATTCGTAGCCATCGTTTGCGACATTTGATTCAAATTGTTGTCACTTTTATGCACTTCTTGTGTCATTTCGCGACAATCAATATTAATAAACAACTAATCATTCGCTTTAAATAAATACTGCTTTCTATACACTTCAACAAACATATGCAATAACTTTATACCATGTATTCAAATGGGTTTCGCTTTAACTAAAGCATTGCACGAATCGATTGCATAACAACTCGATTGGCATTTAATGAGTGAAATAATTGAACTGAAATGAAAAACAATTGCCTCTTATGTTGACTCTTAAACACTTGTATTGAATGCAAAACTGAATCGAAAATATATTCAACTTTTAAATTGAATGCAAACTATAATATCGTTATCTCTATTCATATCTTCATTTCAAGTACAGTAGAGATCCGATAGAGAGTCGCCTAAAGAACTAAAAAAAAAGTTACGACAACTTTACTATGGGTACAGTCGGACACCTATATAGTGACCGTTCAGTCATCTCGCCTACAGTCGCACCCGTTTTATAGTACGCGCGCCGAAAGAGCCGCACAATTGGGGGCCAAAAGTTTGGCAAAAACTTTCTCCAAATCCTCTTTTGAAGGCATTTTCAATACAGTTATCGCTTTAATAGGCATTTGTATTGACAACTGTTTCGACAGCCAATCAAATGCCGCCAAATATGTGCATTGCATACACAATATTAGCGCAATTTTCTGTAGACTCAAAGTATTGGTTTGTGACGTGAATGTGGTATAAAAATATGTGAAAAAGTGTACACAAATGCCTTCCCATTAGGTTGTGAAGAGAGTGAGAGGACTGGTGTCGCTGCGAGTGTTGAGTCCACACATGTGTGGTGTGTATGAGTGGTATGTGTTGTGCGTTGGAGTCGTTGGTCGTCACCACTGGATGTGTTGAGCACTCAATGCAAAGGCTTTCCAGCGATAGAGGAGTGCATTGAAGAGAGCGTTGAGTGTATTGTTTGTGCGGATTGTGTGGCAAAACGCCGGCTAAGGGTTCCACGTCTTATAGTCTTCACTAAAGAGCTATTATTATCGCTATATTTGGTCCCAAAATGACAGCTCACGTGTCACTCGTGTCGCTGTTTGTGGTGATGGCGTTGACTGTCCATCGGATGGGCTGTCAGTCGGCGTCGGATGTGGTGAACGCCAAAGTGGACCGATTGGTCGACATATCGTCTCAATTGGTCAAAGTTGAGACCCGAGTGGTGGTCGACAATAGCCGTAATAAGAAGAGTTTGGATCACTATTTGGTGACTCTGGAGGACACGGATGCCCAGCATTTGTCTCACATCAGCGCCACTGTCGACAAGAAGACGCTGAAAGTGACGAAAGTGGACGACAAGACCTATCGCGTGGACTTAACGGCGTCGGCGGCCATTCCCGCGGGTCAGGCAACGAGTCCTGTCATCACGATTGACACGGTTTTCACGCATTCATTGATCCCATTTCCGGCACAAATCATTCAGTCGGAGCGACAACTCGTCCAATACTTCGGAAACGTGTACTTCTGGAGCCCTTATGAGACAAAAACCCAAACAACGAAAGTAAAGCTAACGCCGACCGGAAGTATTGAGTCGTTTTCGAAAGTAAAGCCGACGACACAGACGGACAGAACCATCACTTATGGCTCGTATGACAGCATTCCGGCCAAGAGTTACAGTGAGCTTAAGATTCATTACGAAAACAACACACCATTCCTTACGGTCACACGACTCGAGCGCGTCATTGAAGTGAGCCATTGGTCGGCAATGGTTTCGGTGGAAGAGACCATTGATGTCGTTCATACCGGCGCTGAACTCAAGGGTGCCTTTTCTCGCTACGAGTTCCAGAGGGAGCCCACGAATGGTATTTCGTCCATCAAGTCTTGGAAGACAAAACTGCCGTTAAATGCGAGAGACATCTACTATAGGGACGATATCGGGAACATCTCGACCAGTAATGTTAAGGCCGGTTCACAGCATTTGGTTGTTGACCTGAGACCACGATTCCCGCTCTTCGGCGGATGGAAAACACATTACATTTTGGGTTATTATACCTCCTCTCAAGACATTCTCCTAAACAAAGGCAACGACTTTGTCCTTAAGATGCCATTCGTTGACCACATTTTCGACAACAACGTTATCGATGACGTGACAGTTAAAGTGATTCTTCCGGAGGGCTCGTCTGACATCAACTACAGGTCGGCCTACACTGTGGACCGTCAAAAGGATCAAAAGCATTACACATATCTGGACACAATTGGACGAACAGTTCTGGTCTTTCATAAAAGCAATTTAGTCGAAGAGCACATCCAGGACGTGGAGGTGCACTACAAGTACAATAAGCTGCTTATGCTTCAGGAGCCGTTGCTGATAGTGGTGGCCATCTTCGCGCTCTGCCTTCTTGTCATAATTTACGTTCGTTTGGATTTCAGTATTTCTAAGAGTCCTCTGAAACAAAGTATGGGTAAAATCAATGCCATCAACGACTCGATTATCGGACACCACGACAAACGCGCTTCTGTTTACGAACAGTTTGATAAGGCGTCCAATAAATTCAAGGTTTGCATTACTCTCACTCATGATTGTGACACTTATTGACCATTTGTTTATTGCTTATACAATAGACGACCAAAGATTTGGCCGCTTTTCAGGCCATTCAGAAGCGATTGAATGCCGAACACAAGACAGAGACGCAGGCCATCAGTG